CGGGGTGCTGAGCCTGGGGGTGCTACGCCTGGGGGTGCTCAGCCTGGGGGTGCTACGCCTAGGGTTGCTAAGCCTGGGGGTGCTACGACTGGGGGTGCTGAGCCTAGGGGTGCGGAGCCTGGGGGTGCGGAGCCTGAGGGAGCTCGGCCTACTCGTGTCGCGTTTGGCAGTACTGTGCCTGGAGGTTCTCCGGGTGCTTCGTCTCGGCGGAAGCCACTCTCTCCACAGGAGCTGCGCGAGTGGTTTGCTCGACGCTGGAGGCGTGCTGCTGGAGCTGGAGGTTCTTCGGCTACTGAGGGTGCTGCTGTTGCGGGCCCCGGAGGTGCTCGTACTGGGAGTACTGGAGCAGCTGGGCCTGCGAGTACGACTGAAGCTGGAGCTGCTGAGGGTGTTGGCGCTGAGGCTGCTGCGGGAGCTCCTGAAGTTGCTGGAGCTACTGGGGGTACTGGAGCTGGAGATGCTACCGCTGGGGGTACTGGTGCTTTCCCTTTTGTGTCTGGAGTTGCCGCGCGGTCTCGGCCGTACTTCGTTCCACTCCTTCAGCAGGTTCTTGGTCTTTCGCCTTCTACTAGTCCTCCTCCTCCCTTAGAATGTCCACAGCCTGTCCTGTCAGAGTTACAGTTACAGCCGGCCTCCCCACTGCCTGCTCCTTCTCCCTACACTGGTCCTACTGGAGGTCTTGCTGAGCGTCGTGAGCCTGCGTCTCGCCCCGCGTCGCCTGTCCGTCCTGCTCGCGCTAGTGGTCGTGGTTCGCGTCAGCGTCCTCCTCCTGTCCCTGGTACGCACCGGATGTCTCTACGTCTGTCCACTACTCCTCTGCGTGCCCCTTTGCCTTCTCCTCCTGCTCTTGCCGACCCGGAGTCGGACTCTCTTCGGGGTGCGAGTCCTACTGTCACGCGTCTCCTTGCTACTGTCTTCACTGACCCTTCTTTCGAGTCCACTACTGCGTCTGCCCTAGTTGCTGAGCTCGTCGACTTTGCTGCTCGCTGTCGTCTAGACTATACTGCTAGTCTTATCGTTGATTCTGAGTTTGTCTATCCTCCGTCCGTCGGGGGTGAGTGTGCCCTTGGCACGGACGTCCTCGAGGACAGGCAGGAGGAGTTCCAGTGCTTGGCCGCTGCTTCACCTCATCTCGTGTCCATGCTGCTGGCCCCTGAGGGAGACCCGGATGCACTTGACATCCCGACTCCGCGCTCTTACGCGGAGGCGATAGAGGGTCCCTGCTCCTCTCAGTGGCAGGCAGCTATGGAAACAGAGATGGCTTCGTGGAAGTCCACAGGCACCTACATTGACGAGGTTCCCCCGCCTGGGTCAAACATCGTCAGTGGCATGTGGATTTTCAGGGTGAAGCGGCCGCCGGGTTCTCCGCTTGTCTTCAAGGCACGTTACGTGGCTCGTGGCTTCAGTCAGCGGCAGGGAGTTGACTACTTTCAGACCTTCTCTCCCACCCCGAAGATGACCACTCTTCGGGTACTGCTGCACGTTGCTGCTCACCGTGACTATGAGTTGCACTATCTCGACTTCAGCACAGCTTTCTTGCAGGGCAGCCTGCACGAGGAGATCTGGCTGCGCCGCCCACCTGGCTTCACTGGGTCGTTTCCCCCTGGTACCCAGTGGAGTCTCCGGCGTCCAGTCTACGGTCTCCGCCAGGCGCCACGTGAGTGGCACGACACACTGAGGACTACGCTTGCGGCTCTTGGGTTTGCTCCTTCCACTGCTGACCCATCGCCGTTTCTGCGCACCGACACCTCTCTACCGCCGTTCTACATCATCGTGTACGTCGACAACTTGGTCTTTGCCACAGCTGACACTGTTGGACTCGCCTACGTGAAGTCCGAGCTGCAGAAGAGACACACGTGCACAGACCTGGGTGAACTGCGCAGCTACCTTGGCTTGCAGATCACCCGGGACAGAGCACGCCGCACCATTACCCTGACTCAGTCACACATGGTGCAGCAGGTCCTTCAGCGCTTCGGCTTCACGTACTCCTCGCTTCATGCCACTCCTCTGCCTACTCGCCACTCGCTCTCAGCTCTGCCTTCGGATGAGTCCGTAGAGTCGAGTGGCCAGTAACGAGAGCTTGTTGGCTGCCTCATGTACCTGATGACCTGCACACGACCTGACCTTGCATACCCTCTTAGCATTCTCGCACGCTATGTTGCTCCTGGGAGACACATACCGGAGCACATGGCTGAAGCGAAGAGGGTGTTGCGCTACTTGTGCAGTACGTCGGGCATGGGGCTTGTGCTTGGAGGGCGGAGTCCAGTGGTCATCATTGGGCAAGTAGACGCTTCTTGGGCTGACGACCAGGCTACGCAGCGGTTGTCACAGGGTTACACCTTCAGCCTCGGTTGCGGCTCTGTCTCGTAGCGGGCTACCCGCTCGTCTTCTGTTCTCGGCTCCAGCTGTGAGGCTGAGATCTACGCGGGGGCCATGGCTGCACAGGAGCTTTACTGGCTCACCTACCTGCTGACTGACCTCGGAAAGCCGCCTCGTTCTCCTCCAGTACTGTACGTAGATAACAAGGCCATGCTGGCCTTGTGTCGAGAGCAGAGACTGGAGCACAGAACAAAGCACATTGCTCTCCGCTACTTCCTTGCTCGTGAGCTACAGCAGTGTGGTCAGTTACGGCTTGCGTACGTGGCCTCTGAGGCCAGCACTGCTGATATCTTCACCAAGGCACTTGCGCCTTGTGATCATCAGCGCTTCTGTACTCAGGTAGGTCTTGTGCCTGTCTTGCCTCACTTGCTCACCTCTTGACCTTGCTTGTACTGTTACATATATATATACACCTGCTCTTGCTTGTCTAGCCTTATATATATATGTACTCCTGCATGTGAACTGGCCTTGTGGCCTTGAACTTGTGCTCGGAATGTGTGGTGACTTTGTGATCCACCCTGAGCTTGCTTTGCTTTGCTTTGCTTGACTGGTCTTGTGACCCCTTGTTCTCCCCCACTTTGCCTATGGGGGTGTGTCAGAACATTATATAGCTTATACATTTGTGTAGGCTGTAGTGGGGTAGCCCATAAGGGGTACAACCCAATTAGGGTTAGTACTTGTACCCAACTCTTTCATAGTTCAATCATTCTCGTTTCTTCTCATCCTCCTGCTCCGCCAGCTCATGAGTTCTCCTTTGTCCCTTCGAACCACCGCCGCTGCCAGTCTTCTTTCCCATTGCTCGGGTGTACACCTTCACATGCAGTCGAAAAGCTGCCTCGATGCGCCTGAGTACCTGCCGGGCCCGGAATCTTTTTCCCCGAAACACACAATCACATCGCTCCACCCAGATCTGGTGAACGGCAATTGCAGAGGGTCGCTTCAGGAAACGTTGAGGCCGATGCTGCCTTTCCGAACAACAGGTCCCCCAAGTCCGACACTTGCCTCGCAGGGTTCAGCATGCGCATGGTGTCAGAGGTCCACTGGTGATCCCCGATTGATCCTAGAGAAGGGTTACAGGCACGTTGGCCTGGGGGGTTATGGGCGCACGGACCCGCTACTTAACAAGCCCTTTTATCCCAATGGTCTAGTGGTTGGGATTCTGACATGGTATTAGAGCAAAGGTCTCGGGTTTGAATCCCGGTGTATGCACTTCGGGCATCCCAGTGCGGGGGGGTGTTAGAGGTCCACTGGTGATCCCCGATTGATCCTAGAGAAGGGTTACAGGCATGTTGTCCTAGGGGGTTATGGGCGCACGGACCCGCTACTTAATAAGCCCTTTTATCCCAATGGTCTAGTGGTTGGGATTCTCACACATGGATCGCTGGACCGCCACCACCACCTGCTGGATGCGTGGGCAGCTGAAAAGACAATGCTCCAAGGTTTCAAACTGGTACGAATGAGCATTCATTCTATCATGCGAGCCCTTTATTGTTCAAGATTCAAGCATCAGGGCATGTTCACTAAAGTTTAGAGTTGCACGTTCCACTCTTTCTCGCAATTTTAAACCCGGTTACAATGTTTTTGTCACCCACCAAATGATCTCCGCAAATGGCTGGCCATTGCGAAGCAATAGCGCATTCGATAGTCTTGCCTTGATTATTCGGCATCAATACAGTCCTCGCCACGACGTGTTTAGCAACACGATATGCCGTAACACATCTCATCCGGAGTGCACACCTCGGTATAATAAACGCCACGTCAAACAATGATGTTGTTTCGCCGCTCCACACCTACAATAAAGCAGCTGGCATGCTCGGGTTTGTGTAACGAGTACAGGCCATCTGTTTGCTAACCTGTGCAGCCAGGTATCTCATTACTTCCCCTACCACTGACTGGACCGCAAATCATGTCCACATACAAGACGTAAGCATAGGAATACAAGCATTGCGTTGCCTCCGGAAACCTCTAACAAGTGTCCGCGTGACTCAGTTCATAGCGCCTAATAAGGCGCACGTCAAAGAATCGGACAGTCGCGATGGGCTCGTTTCGCAAGCCGTACGGATTACTACCCAGTCAACTCGTCCTTGTTCACGGCTAGATCATGTTGTACTATCACTCGGGGCACAGTACAGTATACCATATGGCCGCAGGGCAGGTTAGACAGGCCCGTGTAGAGCCTACCCGCCGTTTAGCAATAGCAATCGGATAGGATGAATAGGCCACCGCGACGCTTAGTTTGGCATCAACTCCGTTCTCAAGGGATTCCCATGTGTCAACCATTCCATGATATGCTTTTGGTGTATATAAGAGTCAAACCTCGCGGTACTGTGAACTTCCCCTTCTATCCTCAGAGTAGTCCAAGATGCAACATCACAAGTCGCCGGACGGCTGGGCAGCAATCCGTATCTCGCCAATGCTCTAAACGGTCACCGCTAGCACATCTTTGCCAGATCCGTGTCACCTCATCCGTTACAACGACGAGATTGAGACGGAAGGGTTCGTATTTTACTTTCAACGGTAGCATTCTGACAACCTCATGACTCTAACGCATCTTTCTGATATTAGTCGCACTTGAGTAGCTTGACCATGCGTCTGACAATTGTTCCCCTTTTCTCTCGCAGGACAACCACGATAGCACCTGATCGCGTTCCGGTGTACGTTTGTGAATTCTGCGGGGACGATTTCCGACAGCGGGGGGATCTGCTTACCCAACGCACTAAACGAAAATGCCGTCGCGCTCGATTGCGCGGATATCTACGCCAAGGTCTTCACACCGAGCCAGAAGACCACTCCCAGGCACACACAGGCTGTCGCTATCGCGAGGAGAGCATCCAGTACGCGCCCTCTGAAGCGAGGTACGTGCAATAGCTAAGTATCATATTTCCAATGCAAAGCAGATTAGGCAGGCCAAACAGTACATCATATAGGCATATAACCTATGCTGTGTTGATGTTCTGTGTTGCGGCTAACACGTGCAGAGCAACACAGATGCGGAGGTAGACAGCATGCGTGCGGGGGATGGAGCACAAGGAGGTTCTGACACAGACGAGACCGACACATCTGAGCACTCATCTCATCCTCGCGGTCCCACTACCTTCGATACCGAGTTAGAGCTGTTCAGTTTCGTGATGAGCTGCAATAATGGCAAAGGATTGTCGTTCAAGGACACTGCACGCATGTTCCATATCATGGGCTCCTCTGGGCTAGACTTGTCCAAAGTCAGGGGATGGGGATCCAAACGAGCGGTTATGCAGTACGGACTGAAGCTGCTGATGGGCACCCGCAAATACAAAGAGACTGAAGTGCGCCTACCCGGCATACGCTGGACATTCAAGGTCATCCACACAGGTGGGGTAAAGGTGAGGCAAACCATGCTAGTATATCGCGTTCCGCATTCGTCCACACTCGGACAACCAACGCATCCAGCAGCCATAACATGCTCCTAACAACACCTGAATTCTGCACTTGCCCTCGCCATATATGCAGGCCCTCGACGAGCTCTTCAGCAACCCTGCCAACCAGCCCGGATTCGTGCTGCAACCCGAGCGCATCCTCGCACCAGACGGTGAGAACATGTACACCACCCCTCACACAGCAGATTACTGGCACGAAGCCAAGGTGATGCGCAATAGCACGGCAGCGAGACGGTAAATAAGGCATCAGGCTTGGCATGTTTACACCTGGCTGACATGCTAGGCGCAAAATACGGCGAGCTCATAAGATTGAGATGACACACATCGTGCGCACTTCATGCCGAGTTGCACAACACTCAACGCACCTCCCAATCACAATACCCGGCCCTCCACCCCCCCACCCCCAATCCCCCCCTGCCTCTCTCTCCCACCTTTTAGTGGCGATACCGCATGCCATTCTGGACAATCCATTGTCAACAGACACTGAAATCAACCTCCCCCTCCTCCCCCCCCCCCCCCCACCACCCCAAACCTTCACCTCATTATCCTGCGCAGGCGTGCTCTTCTCCGCCGCCGAGTCGCCGAGCTTGACTGACTCCGAGAATTGCCCGGACCGAGATATCTCATGCATCATTCGCACTACCATCTTTGCGCATAACGCAGCTTCGTCCCCACCGGCGGCTCGACCGTTCTCGTCGTTTGGATACAACGCAAAGGCTCTGCCTTGCGCCGTCAGGCGTAGAGCAGCTGCTAAGTCGGCGTGGTAGTCGTAGGGCGCTGTCAAGAGCTGTCGCAAGCTGGTCGCACCAAGGAGCCTGCGAACCGAGTCGATTGGCGACGAGACTACCGTGCCTGTCGTACCGTTTCGCACGGTAGATGCAAGGAGCAGTAGCGAAAGCGCCGTCGCGAGGGTGAGGAGGTAGAAGATTGCATCTCGATGGGAAATTACAAGAAAAGGCTGCATCATATCCTTCATATTGCTGCTGCTGCTCGTTCTGATCCGACTCATCGAAGCGGATTTTGGACATCCTTCCTCAGGAGTACTAGAGCGGCAATGCACTTTTGGCAGGTACATGCTGACGTACTACTAGGCACAGCGCGAAATTTAGTTGCCGGTGCGAAATAAGGGTTGTTTGAATTGGATTGTGCTACTCCCTCGTATGTGGACCAGCACTTATACCTTAGTTGGCAGGCATACACGCCTTTACGCTTCTTTGCCTCATAAGTTCTGCTATGATAGGGGGGTCTCCTACGTGCAGACATGACGTCCCGACCAACCCGCGCCGCGCCGAGGAATTCTGCACCAGCGAATTTGCGGGATGCGATCTAGATCGACTGTTTGGATGGAGACTAACACGAGAATAGCCGATGCGCGCGATTTCGCCAGCCTCGTCCCTTCCTTGGGCGCACGACCAGACCTGGAGATCAGGTGCGCTTCGGGCGTGCTGAATGACCCAACTGTCAGACAATAAGTCAAATATATGTCAGACAATGTTGAAGATTGATGGTTTGATATCAACATATCGGCAACAAATTCTTAAAATCGAAAACTCAGTCCGAAATTGCCTGTAACCTAGCATTTAACAACATTTACTAACTGGCCCATCTTTCCTGAGAAATACGATAACCTACCGGAATAACGATTCACATTTGTATGATGAATATCAGGTGCTCTCATGGCATGTTGTTCAATGAATCTTTTTAACCAAGCTCAGCAGCCTCATTATTTTTATTACCTTGGGGTGATACACTCTTGAAGGTGTGTCAAGAGCTCCCTTCTTCTCCCTGCGGGATCAGCCCCTCTCAGCTGCACAGTTGTCCCCACCACAGCGGACTCCTCTCCACCTGCCTGAGCTACCCTCCAGTACATGCATGCCAGCTCACTCCGGTACTGATCATACAATATAGTAGCATTAGCCTTCTTCTTCTTGATAGCAGGCCAGTCATACCAATCCATGGCATACTGCCATATCTGCCTCTGAGGGAAGCGGTTCACATCATCACACCCAGGCAGCTCCCCATCAGGCAATGCATGGCACACACCCTCGTGCAAGTAGTAAGCTGCCACCTGAACATACGTATTGATGACACGTGGCGCGTTGTCGTCGTGCTTTGTGGCGATGCCGAACGGCTGCGTGTAGGGCAGATGCACGCCCACGCGAGGGATCGGCGTGTGACTGGTCCATTCCAAGGCCCAGTGCACCTCATCATGAGCATACGCCCACATGTAGTTCCCAATGGTCGTGTGGGCAATTTGGGTCCGCTCAAACTTCGGCCCATGCTTCGAGAACCACTTGAAAGCGGAGTCAAAGCTGCCGCCCTTATCCTTGTGCAGATTCGCCACATGGCTTCTGAATCTTGGCAGCACGCTGGTCGGCATCAGGAACGGCAGCTGCACCATGAAGTTGGCGAAGTACTTGTCCTCGTCAACGAAAAACTTGGTGGACGGTAACCAGTGGTCCAGCTGTCGCTGCGCGCTGCCAATCACGTACGGCTTGCCATCTATCAGGTTGAACAGTAACCCGGGTGTTACTTTCATGTTGAAGATGACGTCATCGTCAATCAAGGCCACGCACGGGGCTGTTGTGTAGTTGTCAGCCCAGAGGTAGCTCCACTGCTGCAGGATCTTTCCTGGAAGATTCAGCCTGTTAATCTCGTAGTAGACTTTTATCCACGTGGGAATGAGGTCCTCAGCCAATCGCTCGTCACTGTCGAGGATGAGGATGACGTCACCAATGCCACGTGGCCACATCTGCTCGATGCTGTCAAAGAGCATCTCGAGGAGGAAGAAGCTGCTTGACACGTGGCTGCGGATTACGAGGTCCACGCGGCTGGGCCATAACGATCTGCCAATAGGGGGCAGCAGAAATTCAAAGTGGAAAGAACATTAGTGTGAGATGTTGACTGGAAACGAGGAAAAGAACGAGTTACATTGGCACACTGCCTTTTCTTAACAGAAAAATAGATAGAACAAAGAAAGAGACAGAGAGAGCGAGATAGAACAAAGAAAGAGAAAGAGAGAGAGAGAAGAGGTGCATGCACCTACTGGTACGCGTCGTCGTAGAGGCTGAAGAGCTCCGCCACGCAGTGACCCGTTCGTGAGCGTCGTCTGCAATCCCTCTTGCCGCTCGCGCCACCACCGACGTCCGAGACAGCATCACCACTGTCCCTGGTAGCAGTAGCAATACTAGAATTAGCGGTAGCAGTAAGGATACTGCTAGTACTACTAATTGTAGTACTAGAGGGGTCGTGAGGGCGCTGTTCAAGGACGTCTTTCCGAGCATTGCCGCCATCAGGCTCACTGGAAGGCGTAGCAGTAGCAGTATCAGCGTTTTCTGAACTGGAACTGACGGCGACGTCTGCCGCGCTAGCGCTCTTCCCTGCCGCCGAGTCTTCCACCTTGCTTGCCTGCGAGTCGGGATCGGGATTGCCTGGCTCTTGCCAAGGCGAGGAGGTCTCCGGCATCATTCCCAGAAGTACCATCTTTGCGCTTCGTACCGCGGCTTCGTCGCCAGCGCCCGCTCGATCTTTCTCGTCGTCGCTGCCTTGCGCTGCCATCGGTAGAGCAGCTGCTAAGTCGTCGTGGTAGTCGTAAGGCACCGTCAAGAGCTGTCGCAGGCCCGTCGCACCACGGAGCCCGCGAACCGAGTCGTCCGGCGACAAGAAAATCGTGTTTGTCGTACCGTGTCACACGGCGGAGGCGAGGAGCAGCAGCGAAAGCGCCGTGGCGAGGGGGAGGAGGCAGAAGATGGCCTCTCGACGGGTAATCACAAAAAACGGCGGCGAGTCCTTCACGCTGCTGCTGCTACTCGGACTGCTCCGACTCATCGCCACAAAATTCGGGCTTCCTTTCTCGGAAGCATTAATAATACTACCAGCACATCTTGGGATGACTGATCCGCTGCTGCTAGGACTTCTACAGCTCAATGCGTAGCCGCTGGTAGTACCGCCACGTGACTCAGAGCTTGTCGGGCTGCTGGATCGAGAAGTGGAATACGATCGCGTCGATGACGCTGGCGGCCATGGTTCCGCCTCTACGGAAGGCGATTTCACGGAGATGGACAGAGTGGCCATGATGACGGTAGTCGGACTGCTTCTCCGAGTCGGAAATTCTGGTTAGTACGTGACGCACAGCTCTCTCTTCCGCGGCAAAGGAAAGCCTGGAAAGAAGACAGTTCTGGAACAAGCGGGATTGTTCCCGGGCTGGTCGAGGAGACCTACGACGTGACGCATGAGCGTGCACTTGTCCATTCTGCCTTCTGACATACCTCCGATACGCCATGTCGTTTCTTCCAAGGGAATCATTTACGCGGAAAAGGGACGGTGGATTCAGGTTATTCGTCATAACACCTGAGAGACTGCCATAGAGGGGAAGATGGTCAATCAGGTGATTCTTGGCTGTGAAGGATTGTCGGGACTCGCTTTCCGTGTCGATCATAATCGCCGCTCTGGAGAAACTCTAGGAGTCAACGGGGTTGCACCGAGGCTATTGGCAGAGCCCAAATGACTAAACGTTACTGACTCCGCCTCCCGTGGTAGGAATGATGCAAAGACGAAAGAAGCAGGGACTTGAAGCAGTCGACAAACACCGGCAAATCAGGACGCGGTGAGTGTCGGTGGTGATTTTGGAAGGCAGTTGAGGTTCTTGTGGCATTTGGTTGGATGAGCGAGGTGACTGAAGGGATGGCTGACGGGGATGTGTTGTGCCTTGCTGAAATTTCTTGCAATGTCTGCGGTAGGGGGCGCAACGATTTGGCGGGAACGTCACCGTAGAAGCTCTCAGGGGTGTTTCGATTTCGACCGTTGGTCGGTTTGGAATGTCACTGTGGAAGGATAAGGATCAAGAAAGCATTTTCTCCTTACTTTCATGGTGCTATTTATTGCCATGTGCTACTTAGTGCCACTAGGAAAGGGGCAGCCGTACTCAGAAAATCGGAATAAATAGCCATGTATTTAAGCCAATAAATGGCATTTGGTCACTGCTGCTACTCGATGGTGTTTGGTCTCCAAAACTGGAGGAAAGGGGCAACCGCACTCAGAAAATCGGAAGTGGTTCTCCATCATTCACATTGGCTTCCCGAAAACGTCCGCCGAGTAAGGACGCGGTAAGAGTAGGCGATCGATCGTCAGTCACGATCGATGTGCAGATTGGTTACCCTATTTACTACGCTTTAGCCGTACTACAGTGACCTTTTTGGCCCAATTTTCTGTACAGTGTGTGAATGCGACTGATCACTGATCGCGGGAGATCTGTCAAAACTCAGTAGCGATCGTTACAACGCCGCGATCGCCATGCTTCGCCAATCGATCTGCCCAATCGATTGCGGGGATCGATATGTGCAGACGATCCTGCGATATTTGCACTTATATTGGGTCCTAACAATTCTCGCACACTCGGCGTTACCTGCATCGGCGCTGGTTAGATTATGGCTTCAAACGCGATACAGCCGGTCCACCATAACAACAGAGGGAGCTGTAACAAGCCACAACAGATCAAGAATCATGCAAGGAATAACATGATTGACTGATTCTGAATTGCAATTTAGCGGGTACAGTTCCAAGGGACATGCGTCACTTTGTTGCTAACTGCAAACGACGCTCTCTGCAAACGAGGCTCGCTCGATTCTTTTTCGCCATCCCAAAAATGATGGGCTGCTGAAGTATGTCTGAAAAAGTCAACTTTCGAGGGAGGAGGCTTCGGGGTAGGTTATTGGTATGTCAGGTGTCTCTGCAGTTACTTTCTCGCAGCTTTCCAGGTTCGGAACGCAACCAGTATGTTTCAGTTCGAAGTAACCCACACGTAGAAATTTACATCCATCCAATCCCAGCCTCAGGAAGAGCTGGTTTGGAATCCGGAACCTGTCGCTTCGGCTGTCGAGGCTCTACACTCGAGAATCCATCTGAATAGCTGGTAACCTTGGTGGCAGTTACAAAATAATTCTGTAATACGGTATTTGCTGTTTATAGAACATATATGTTGCTGCAATATTTGGAAATGTGCATATCCTTTACAACTGAGTTTTGGCATGCTTTTCTTCGAACATTCATGCCAGGTTGACAATGTTAAGACATTAACGCAACCATGTTTTGGTCCCTAATATCTTAGCTCTTTATTAGAAATTGCGTGAAGCACTTGAATAACCTGATTAGTGCATTGTTGCCTCGTAGACACATGTTACAGTTAGTTATATTGAATTATCATGCTACTCATGTTATTTCCACTTGCATTTACTTATCAATAATGCCGTCTTTTGATATTCATAATGGGCACAAGTTGTGTCGTTGTGGAACACCCCAATTACGTACAGCAAACAACAATTTATGTGAACATACAAGGCTCATATTAGGCCCACAATGAGAGTCTCAGAGCACTACAAATAGGTCCCATACAAGTAAAAGGACTCAACTAAAAATGACACACATGTGTTCATAACTCGGGTACTCGTTTTGACATGGGTTGTTTTTTTTGTCAGATGACTATATTACTGATGCATATATTTAGGCTGTAGTGGGGTAGCCCATAGGGGGTACAACCCAATTAGGGTTGGTACTTGTACTTGTTTCATTTCATAGTGCATCCATTCTTCGCCTCTATCTCAACATGGTATCGAGCAGGTTCCCTAGTGGGAACTGTTCCTAGGGCCCACCTACTATTCCGTCCTGCCCGGAGCGCGCTCTGCCCTAGCCCGAGTCGCGCTGGGCCATTTTTTTTCTTTGGCGGCCCGATCGCGTCGAGCCGCCCGCGAAATTCTGACGCGCCACCTACGCGGCCTCGTCGCGCCGCCCCTAGACGGCCGCGCCGCGTCGCGCGTGCCGCCCTCCAGTCGCGCGCCGCCCCCCCTCTGACCCTCGCGACGCCGGCGCCGTCGCTGACGGCCCCGCGATCGCCTGCGACGGCCCCGCCGTCCCCTCTACCGGCCCCTCCGCTGCGCTTGACGGCCCCGCCGTCCCCTCTGCCGGCCCCGCCGCTGCGCTTGACGGCCCCGCCGTCCCCTCTGCCGGCCCCGCCGCTGCACCCGACGGCCCCGCTGTCCCCTCTGCCGGCTCCGCCGCTGCTTCAGACGGCCCCGCCGCTGCACCTGACGGCCCCGCCGTCCCCTCTGACGGCCCCGCCGCTGCACCTAACGGCCCCGCCGTCCCCTCTGACGGCCCCGCCACTGCACCTACCGGCCTCGCCGCTACTCCTGACGGCCCCGCTGCTGCATCTGCAGGCCCCGCCAGCTCACCTGCCGGCCCCGCTGCTGTACCTGACGGCCCCGCCGCTTCACCTACCGGCCCCGCCACTCCCCCTAACGGCCCCGCAGCTGCATCTCCCGGCCTCGCCGCCCCAGCAACTGCGCCGCCCCAGCAGCCGAGCCGTCCCAGCAGCCGAGCCGCCCCGGCAGCCGAGCCGCCCCAGCAGCCGAGCCGCCCCAGCAGCCGAGCCGCCCCAGCAGCTGAGCCGCCCGAGCCGCCCGAGCCGCCGAGCCGCCCGAGCCGCCCAGCAGCCGACCCGCCGAGCCGCCCGAGCCGCCCGAGCCGCCTGCACTGCCCTGTCTGGTGAGCACTGAGCTTTACTCTGCACACTGACCTCACCCTACTGCTGTCATGGCTACCCCCAGTGTCCTCACCTTCGACGCTGAGGGCAGAGCCATAGACTTTGACGTGTGGGTAGACGACCTGCTGCTTTTCCTACAGTGCAACAGAGCTGACGGCCTCTCTCTCTTTGATCTCACCTCTGGTGCCTCTCCCGCCCCTGCTGCTACTGAGGATGCCACTGTTCGCTCAGTGTGGGCCACACGCGATGGTGTTGCACGTCTTGCTGTGCGTCGCCACCTCCCTCCCTCTGAGCGTGCACACTTTGGGTCGTACAAGAGTGCTCAGACCTTGTACGACGCCGTTATTGCACGCTACTCCACCCCTGCCACTGCTGCACTGAGCCGCCTCATGCTACCGTACCTCTTTCCCGACCTTGCTTCTTTTGCCACAGTCGCCGACCTCATAACCCACCTGCGCACTAGTGACGCTCGCTTCCGCGCTGCGCTTCCTGCTGAGTTCTGCGCCAAGAACCCCCCCCCCCAGTACTTCACTCTCTACTACATTGTCACCCGCCTCCCTGACTCCCTCCGCGGAGTCAGGGACGACTTACTCTCAGTCTGCCCCACCACTCTCACTGTTAACATCCTCGAGAAGTCCCTCCTAGCAGCCGAGAAGAGCATTCTCGCTGTAGGGGCCTCTCGTGGTGACCCGCGCACCCCCATCTTTGAGGGGTGTTCCCCCTCCCCCCTCCTGCCCTCTGTCGCCTCTGCTGCTACGGCCGACCTAGTTGGTTTTGAGTCGGTCGGTGCGGCGTCTGCCCCCAGTGGGAGACGTCGCTCTGGCAAGGGCAAAGAGGGCAGGAGCGATGGTGGAGGCGGCGGGGGCGGTGGGGGCGGCGGTGGAGGCAGCGGAGGAGGTGGGGGTGGTAGCGGGAGTGGTGTCGGGAGTGGAGGTGTCAGCGGCGGCAGTGGAGGCGGGGGTGGCACTGGCGGTGGTGGTGGGAGTGGTGGCGGAGGCGGCGGTGGCGGCAGCGACGGTGGGAGTGGCGGAGGCAACGGAGGTGGTGGCGGCGGCGGCGGAGGAGGCGGCGGAGGAGGTCGTGGCTTGTCGCAGAGGAGTGGCTCCGGTGGCGGTCAGCGCCAGCAGCAGCGGCAGCAGCGTGGTCAGGAGACCCTCTCCCCGCAGCAGCTCCGTGAGTGGTACGCTGCACGTTAGAGGGGTGGGGGTACTGGTCCGTGCACCTACGTCTTGCGCACGGGCGACCGTGCGGGTGAGCCGTGTGGTGGTCCACACCCCGCCCAGCGCTACTT